CAAAATAAGCCACAGCCCCATCAGAACACTAAATCTACACCATGCCCTAGATCTGGTTTTTCATGCTTCTTTCTGCATGACTCCCCCACCCCCTCTCCTATCCAAACACAATTCTTTTAAGGGCACTCTTCAAATCATCTAGCAATTCCCAAAGGGAACCCAGGAGTCTCTTAAAGTGCCTTTCTAAATTAAAAGGCCCAAACAATATAAGTGCATTTTTGACCAAATATATGTATATTTTGTATATGAATGGAATTATATATACATATATACCATATATACATATACATATTAGAAAGCATTTGGATTTGAGAACCTACGGTTTCATAAAAAAAAAGACCAAAGGCACCAAAGAGAAAAACGCCCCCACAGTGGATTACAAGGTTATGGGACAGGTCACTAGGAACGGGAAATAAAACTCAGTGTTAGGTTTGGTCTGTAAATTATGCACCTTTCAGGAAAGGGGGTTGAAGGTCTCTTCACTCAAGGGGTTTTTTTCCCATCCATTTTGCTATTAATTCTTAACTCTTGGTAGGCAGTTCTTTAATGAGGTTGTTTGTGGCAGGTTAATTTTCTCCAATCTACTAAGCTCCTCATTTTCCCTTAAGTGTGCTGCTGCCCGGAGCTTTCAGAATTGTCCATACTAGAAGAAAACAGAATAAACATGCTGAAGTTGCCTGGGTGGGCTGTGAATTAAAGGCGTTATGTGGACAGATAAACAGAAGGCCTCGGACAGATGGGAGTGGGAGGGTAGGAGCCAGGCTGAGTTGAGGGCAAGAGGGAGAGAACTCGGTCTTAGGAGAGCGATGACCCTAGGAGTGTAATATATTAAATATTGCAGCGATCGATTTCAATACCCCAAGTGGACACGGGAATAAAAATTCACCAACAAGCTGAAGTGATTAGGAATGCTTTGTTGCGAGGGAAAAATGTGATTTTCTTCAAATCCTTTTTGTTCAGGTTAGAAGAGGCCCAGACAATCCAAGTGTAAGCCCCGGACTCCCAGTTTGGGATGTAACCCTAAAGGTTAGTCATATCTCAATGGTACTTCTGCATAGTGGATGGATGAGCTGTGTACCGAGGAGGATTAAATAGCAGCCACAATTATGGGCTGCTGACTCCCTGAGCTTTCCTCCCAAATCAGAGAAGAGCACATTTTGGAGAGCTCTCCCTGTGAGTTAGTCTTTGTTTCAGCTCTGGGACAAAGCAGTGGCTTGTACAATTCTTCTTTCATTAAAATCGAGGGGGGAAAATACACAATACGGTTTGCAGAAGGTTGAACTGCCATACCAAAATGTGAAAACAGCGTTTCCTGTTATGTAGGAGAAATTTTTTTCAGTGTCATTCTAGGAAGAAAAGTATGAAATTGTCATACATATAGGCACAGATACCTGCTACCACACACAATTTTATTACTGGTTTCCAAATTGAGTTGGACTCTTGCATTTAGATACTCCCTGAACTGTTCTCTCTTCAAGTCCAGGAATCTGCTTAGGGATTTGGGGTAGTCATTGTGGAGGCTGCTTGAAGCAGGGGGATTGTTTTCAGTCACAGACTAATGGGCAAAGCCTGGGCCTTACACACTGGGGACAGCAAGTCTGCTGCTAGGGACACATTGCTGGATGCCTGCAGGTAGCTGCAGCAGCTACTGCAGCTGCCTCCTCCTTCAGTGTAGACGGGGCTACAAATCTGGGAAAGAAACACAGCACTATACAAAGGGTTTCTTTAATGAGGAAGAGTTCCTCAGATGGTGTGCTGGAGATGCTCCGGCTTCTCTTTCCCTGTCAGATGCTTTCTCTTTACGTAGTTCTTTTTGTGATAACTGGGCATTGGAAATCACACACACACACACACACACACACACACACACACCAGCACTCCTTGATAACCCAGACACAGACATCTATTAGAAGGTCTGAGTCAAGCTGAATTTCTGAATTGGGAGAAAGCAAACCTCTCTGACACCCCTGCCCCCCACCACAGAAGAATTCTACATCATAAGTGATCTACTCTTGAATGCATCACAGTGATGACTAGCTCTCACTTACAGACATGGCCTAAGGACCAGCTGCATTTCTGTGAGAGCTTCTCCTCATCATGGAACAGAGAGGGCAGGAGAAGGAACCCTAAGCTTCCTCATTTCGTTCAATCTAATTCGGGCTGAACATGGTGGGTTAGGGCTGAGACTGGTTGTGTAGCAGAGCACTTAGGTTCCTGCAGCTTGAATCTCCCAGGCTTTCTGTGGAGAGCAGAGTGGCTACAGGGAGGCTATTATGCCTATAAAGCTGTTTATCTCTCTTAAGCTACACGACTCCTTCCTCTCTTCGGGTTGTGTTCAACCAGGTTCAGGTGTGAAATGTCACTCAGAGAAGTGACCTTGAGGAGGTAGTTACTGAGACCAGTTATCTCTTCCTGAATGTGGAGAAGACTGAATGGGGGGGGGGGGGATTTGGGTAAGAAAGAGCTTGTGTTCTGTTGTGAATCCCATCTTTTATTTTTGTACCCTGGTCCCTTTCTGCTTCATCTTCTCTTCTTCCACACTCTTCCCCTCTATTTTGAATCATGTAAGAAGAATATGTACAAGACCAGGGCCTGCTGAAGCTGAAGCCAGGCCTGACTATGCCTAGGCAGGTGGGAGAATTCTGAGATTTCTGGGGTTATGTGACTCTGGAGAGAAGGGATCTCTTGGGGGAAGACACAGGGTGGTGGCCTTTAGTCTCTGGTCACTGAGGTACACCTACTGAGTCCAGGGTCAAGACTCTGGACTGGACTCCCCAAAGCCTGCTTGGTACCTGTTGCTTGAAGTGTCTGAGGAGTCTTTGAGTCCCTAACCTATTTTAAGTTTTGGGCTTAGGTCAGGCTCTCCCTAGGACTGCTGGATTCACCTGTCATTATAATCGCTGCCGAAAGTTCTTGACAAACCTCCACAATGTGCATCTGCACAAGGGCGCTTAAGGTTCACTGATCTGTGTGTCGAACTTTGCAAAACTGCAAATAAGCGAGAAATTTTGTCTATTCTTGTGAAGGGAGATACAAGTTGGTACTTAACGTGGAAGCAGGAGAAGGGGGTGGGTGGGTAGGGAGTCTAGCCAAAAGCCCCACTGTAATCTCCAGAACAATTTCATTTCCTCTGCAACACCCTGGCTACCCTGGCCCAGGCCTCAGAGAGGTCAAGGAGGAGATGGAATTGAAGGATGGGGTGGGGTGAGGGGCTAAGCCCTCAGCCAGGTCGCAGGTGAGAGCAGAGCTAGGTGGAGCGGAGGCAACTAGAAGGAAGGCCGAGGGACGGGGGAGGGGCAGAAGTCTTTGGCTTCTTCCAGAGGGGTTTTTCCTCAGGAATTCGCACAGCCCGCCTCCCGGACCGCTTGCAGGGCTCTCCCCCGCCCCTTCTGGTAGAGCTGGTCGCAGGGAGCTCGGGTTTCCTGCAAGCCCCTGGTGCCTCCAGGCCTCCGGCTTTCAGCCGCCTGGGAGAACAGGCCTTTCCCGCTTGCTGAGAAAGGGAAAAGCGCGTGCGGCGCGGGCCCAGCGTGCAGCGCGCGCCTCGGTGCCGGGAGAACCGGATCCTCTCGGAGATGCTCAGCAGCCCTCCGCCAGCTATGTAGAGCTGGTCCTGCGGAGCCGGCTGTAGCCTGGGGTCCCGGGTCGAGCCACCAGCCTCCGAGACTTCCATGCCTGACGCCGCTGCTCGGAAGCCCGGCGTAGCAGGGACAAGCAGGCCGCGGGAAGCTTTCCCTCCGTCCTCCGAAGGGGAGCCTAAACATTTTTTTTTTTAATCTTTTACTTTAAAGTGATCCATCACGACACACCCGAGAGTGGCTCCACCTTCTGTCCCCACCTCTGCGGCCTTCACTTGTCACCTCAGCTCTAAGTGTGCTCGGAGGACGCGCGGGCCGTGTGCGTGTGGCAAAGGGTGCTGCAAGCGCCAGTAGCCCGAGCCTGCGAGGCTGTCGGGTTTGCATGAATTCCGATATGAGAACCCACACTTAGAGGGTTGATTCCTGCTTCCTTGTTCATAACCCTGTAGGTGAAAATCACCATCGATCGCTTTTCCCCTGACATCTGTCCCTGCACGCCTGCCTCCCTGCAAGGAAGTGCTCGCAGGAGCCGGGCTTCATACCCGCTGCCTTCAGGGAACTGAGGATAAGAGTCCTCCATGAATTAAGTTGATTATTAATTTGGGCTGTTTGGAGCTGGTAACACTATAGATGCCTTCGGCTTTGGGAATTGTCTCTGGGCGGGGACGCAAGCACGAATGACCCAGAATTGTGACTGGGAAAAGTGAGTGAGTTCTGGGTAGAGGCTTCCTGAGTGGGCAAGAGAGAGAGCTTCCTAGTGAAGCTTAGCTCTTCCCAGTTCCCAAATAAATTCTTAGTTAACTAGTGTAAACACATCAGTATTATTAGATGGGTGAAACAGAGGGTTGGATGTGGGGGCATGTCAACTAAACCCCACCCCATGATACTTTCTTAAATGACAAATAAGTACGCTTACAACACGAAAATAGAAATGTAACATTCGACTGGACGAATTAATTTTTGACGGATTTACGGCATGATTTTCTTTCAGGAGGTATTCCTGGCCTTTTTTTTTTTTTCTTTCCCTATCCAAAGTGCGGTCCAAAGACAGAAATATAAACAAGCTCTCTGCCTTACGGAAGCCCCTTAACAGTATCTCCCAAAGAAAGATCAAGACACTTTGTGAATTTTCCCCAGATAATGCCTCATATTCCGAATGACTGATCAGAGAACTCCGGTATTGTTCAATAAAATGAGAGGAAGGCGAGTGACGTGGGAGCCGAACAATGGCATTTCTGAATCAGTTTGCTTGATTGGCATTTGGGAGCTTCATGACCGCAGGGAATAGGACTCATTACTGTGAATACACCAAAACATCAACCGAGATTAGAACTCTAGATCCTGTTTTAATCCCATTTCAGCCTAAATTATAGTGGGAAAATATAAGATCCAAGGGAAGAGAATTACGCCAGCATATATTGACCTAAAGTTTTAATTGTAGTAAAGGGGAAATTAAAGTGTGCAGCTGAAGTACTTTCCAATAGTTTCAGGACTGGTGCTGGTAATTAAGCAGGATTCTCGGATGTAGTAGGGTGGGTTCTAAGAATATTTACGTGGTATAAAATACCTCATATTTGCTTGGGGTGACACGTGTTTGGAGGGAGGTATTGGAAGGTTTTCTTAACTTTGTACATATGAGAAAAACATCATAGCCCTTTCCATTGGTTAAAAGGCAGGGAGGGCCATTAGCAAATTCATGGTGAGAAATAACTAGACACTTTACTGCTAGAGTCTAAATATCTATTGTTATTTGGAAGACCTTATTACTTTGCAGAGGATTTTTATATTAATGCCAAAAGTTGTGCTAACACTAAATTTAGCCCGGGAAACTGCAGTAGCTGTTATTCAGTTCATATTGGAAAGGGGGAATGTGTTTTGCAGTCTGTTTTAATAACAGAAAAGTGTGAGCTAATGCAGGTTGTGGGTTTGATCAGAGTCTGGTGTGTGGCAACCACTCTGTACAAAAATGTTGACTCTTTAATGGAATTCATCTTTAAATCTTAGAAACTTAAAATACTGAAAGCCTTAGGAATCATGTATTAAAGCTGAGACACAGTTGAAAGACAAAGCAGTAGTAAGAAGATAGGTATATTCTTGTATTTTAGTAAATTACAGCAAAGGAAAATAGAGCAAAGTTATTACAAATAATGGAACAGAAAGGGTTGCTACATGATATAGCTCCACAATTATTTTGAGGGGTGGGCTTTAATAAGAAGCCTCTGTTGCATGGGAGCTTGGAATTGTAAGAATTATTTTTTGCATCAAGAAGGGACTGAAATTAATTATTAGAAGCTCAGTAATCACCAAATAAACTCCAAGCTTTGAGGTTAAAAACAGAGGACTATCTTCATGTTCAATTACTAATACAACCGTTGTTTCAGCGTCTCAGCACCACCAGATAGCATCTTCTATGGAGATACCTTGGTATTAATTAATGACTTCTTTATTCTCATTATTCACAAGGAAAAATAGGGGTCGTGTCACATTAAAATTAAGATTATCTTAGTTTATCTGGGCTCTTAAACAAAGATCATTCAAACTAATTATATTTTGAATTAACAGAGGTTAGGCAATTTATCGCTTAACTTTTTTTGTCTAAAGACAAGAAAATAAAGCTCAGAAATAAGCAGAGTTTCATTTTAAATACAGAAAGAAGCAAACATGTCCTGACTTTTGCAGTATTTCCCTTGCTAAAGGGGGAATGAAGGAACTGTAAAAGACGTGACTTTGCAAAGTCAAGTCCTTTTTAAAAGACTTGGATCGAAATTCTTGCTATGCAACAAGGATTCAAGTTTGATTAATTTTCTGCAAGCGACGTGACAGCGGTGTTTTAAAAGATTAATTAAAATTGAAGTGATACGGAGCAGGAATCCAACCTGCAGAGACGTCCCTGGCGCCTTTTGGGGGGCGGGGGGAAGGCTTTGCAAGCCAGTCCCAAGCCCTAACTACCGGCTTTCCCGAGCCTGGGACGCAATTCCCCGTCTCCTGGAGAGGAACGCGGAATTTGGCAGGGCGCCCGTCTGGCCGCCTGGCATACCGAGCTGGCCGCCAGCTCTCGGGGGTGGGGACGGGGTGTGTCCCCCGGAACCCGCTGCGGAGAAAAGTGCTAGCGCGCCTTTAGACCAGCCAGTGAGGACCTGGGTCAAGCCAAGAGGCGGGAGGGGGCTCCTGGAGCTGACAGCCACAGGCCCAGCAGCTACTCCAGCGGCTGCACCTACAAGGTGACACCCTGCTGGTACGGAACCCTCCCCCCCAACCCGGCCGAGCGCAAACGTGCTGGAGTGCAGGGAGTGAGGATGGCAGTCTGCGGAGATTCGTGCACAGGGCCGAGGCTGGGGAGAGCTCGGCCACACTACGGCTCCTGGGCCCAGATCCTGGGCCTGGATGAGCAGTGCTGCCTGGTGACCTCGGACACGGGAGCCGTAGTAGCCCTTCACTGTGCAGTTGCCCTCCCCTCCCCTCCCCCGCAGTTTCCCGCTCTAGCTCCCCTCCCCCACCCCACATCCTGCTCCCCTCGCTTTACTCCGCGACGCCTTCAACCGAGTAAGAAATTAAGCCGAACACAATTGTAACTGTACTCAGGGAGGCACAATCGCCCAAGCCCTTGGGGTCACGCGCGACAGAGGGGCGACGCGGGTGGCGCCGCCGAGGGTGGGGTGGAGAGGGCGTTCTTTTGCAATCAGACTCCTGGGCGCGACATACAATGTCCCGTTCTCCCTTCTGGGGCTCTGGGGTCCTCACGAAGAGAGGCTGCGTCGGGACTTGCTGCCGAGACCGTGCGCCCAAGGTCCGAGGATGTCCTCTGCGACCTGCGGCGGGCGCTGTGGGTTCAGGCCCAAACGAGTCCCAGGGGCTTATCAGCGCCTGGAAGTAGAGGTGGTCTCTCTAACCCCTGGCGTCAGTCTTTACCCTTCCTCTTCCCGGAGACCCGGGAGGCGGCGACAAGGAAAGAGAGGCGGGAAAGCCGCACGGAGCTACCCAAGTCAGAGGCGGTGGGGCTCAGGGGACTCTAAGGGCGAGAACTGCGGATCGGAAGCCGGGCGACAATCCCTTCCCCCTCCACGTGCAGCCGGGGCACCTCCTCCCCGGGGAACCCACCCAGCCGCTCCCAACCTGGAGAACAAAGGGTCTGGGAAGCACGGTCGGGGTCGGAGAGCGGAGGTGGAGGGACGCAGGAAGGCAGGCGGTGGGGGCAGGGGAGGGCGCCTGCTTGCACTTCCTCTCTGGGCCGAATGACGGAAAGCTCCACGCAGCTAGCGCCTCGGTGAGGCTGTTTCTCAGTCCTGGAGGGCTCGGTACCTTACCTAGCGGCAGCATTCGCGCCCTTCCTCCCCTAGGGTCCCCACCCCCCTCCGGGGACGAAGGCCTGGAAGCCGCAGAGCCCGCTGTGCCCTGGCGCGGGAGGAACCGCGAGACAGCAGCGCCCCCTGCAGGTGCCAGGCGTCTCCGCAGCCGGGCACGCATCGACTCTTAAGGTGGAACCCGCCTGATTCCAGCAAGCTAGTGGTTGTGGGTGGAGGTGGGTAGTTCCCGCCTCACCCTCATGCGCAAAGGGTCTCCCAAGCGAAACGGGCCTGACGGTCCAGAACCCCGGAGTCTGTCCCTCACCGATGCTATTTTCTGGACCCTTGGCCCCACCATCTGCAGGACCTCATCTGTGGATGCCCCACTATGGATCGACAAGTCACATTGCTAATTCCCAGTGTAAGAGACTACCTAAATCCCGCTTCAAGGCGGAAAGGCCAGAAGGCGTTTCTGTAACTGGAAAGCAAACTTTTACTTTTGTTTATTAAACGTTAAGTGACGGTGAGCATGGGATGAGACTGGCCAATCTCGGAATCTTCTCACTCCCAGCCAACTCGTGGACAGGTGCACGCACTAGGGGACTGGACTACGCGTCCAGCCTGTTTGGGGATCCACATCTTGCAGCTTCAGCGACCCTCTGCTCGAAATTATCCTATACATTTTTTTTTCTTTCTTGAACCGACTGATAAACATATGAGAACCCTTGGAAGTGTCCTCCACGAACTTCAGATTCTTGGAGAAAAACCTATGAATGAGCAAGTAGGGTTCCCCGCGGTCTCAGTCTATTTCCTCTCTGTCGGCGCCTGGGAGCACGAGGCTGCAGACGGTCCCTGGACTCCCGCACTCCCATGACTCGGGAGCGGCGGAGAAGACCCGGGACAGGAGAGCACAAGGGCTAGAAGGCCGGCTGCTGGCTTTGAGTGTGCGGATCATCCACACCGTGGGAACTCCCCTCCCCCTGGGCACTGGGCCTGGGATCCGCCCCGTGGGTGGGAGGCCGATGGTCCCTGGGGTGGGTGTTGGCTCCGGAGAAGCGGAGTCCACGCGCTAGGCAGCTGCGGGCAAAGCTCGCCTGGGCAGGTGCCTCCAGGTCAGACCCGCCCTGGGGGTTGCAAACCGCAAGCGAAAGTCGAGAAGGGCAGGAGCCTGCCCACTAATCCGTTTTACACTGTGAAAACCGCAGGCCTGTCGCCTAAGAGGCCACTTTTTAATTTGGAAGCACATGGAGAGGGGAAAAAAAAAAAACAAATTAACATGCGAGCACACTTCCTTTCCACTTTTTTTTTTCTTGTCGTGCCCTTCCTCCCCTCAATTTTTCAACGAAAAAGCTGTCCTTCTGATAAAGAGGTAAATTGATCTGCGCTTTGGATTGCAGGGGAGACTTGGGCACGTAGGGAGCCGAGTGGGGGATTCGGGCACAGGCTGTATCCCCGACTGCCAGGTTCTTCCCTGGCTTCTCACCCGCGTGCGTCCTCTCTACCAGTCATCTTAGGCCACGTGCTTCAGGCAAGCCCCATCCAGTGTTTTTCCGCTGTGACTGTAGGGCAGTGGGCAGCATTTGGGTGTCGGCATGCATTTAGAGAGTGCCAGCTCGGTCGGTGGATCTACCGAAAGGGTAGGCGATTGAGTTGTCTCCACCGAGCGTCTACACACAAGCTCACCAGAAGAAACACTCACGGATGAGTCTCAAAGCTTTCCTTGGGGAAATTCACCAAAGCCTCTAGGTGCACCACGCAGCAAAACTCAGTTTACTGCGTGTAAACTTGAGGTGCTCAGACTCCTGGAAGAACAGCCAGAGGAAGAAAGAGAGTAGGAAGGGGTCAGATGGGGAACGCTGAGGGTCAAGTGGGCAAGTCCCAGGACAGTGGTTCCCTTATTCCCACGTTCCTCTCGTGAGGGTCCTATTTAGGAACTCTCTCCCACCACCCAAATACGTGCTAGTGGCGATAGAAAGGGAAGGCAGACAAAAGAAAGCCTAGAGAATGACCTTTATTTAAAAAGTAAAACTAAGATAAATTACTCGGTGAAATTGTGTGTGGGTGGGAGGGGGTGAGGGGAGACAGGATGGATGGAGGCGGCTTTTCACTCTTTGTTCTTTGAAACCTAGAACACTTTAAAAATCCAAAAAGTTGGAGGGGGAGAAAGTCTTGTAAAATGTTTGTACAATTGAGAGGTACTGCTCATTAATTGATTTTGAAAGCAGTTGCTGGATTGGATGAAGTCTTTCTCAGTCCCTGTGAGAAGCTCAACAAATTTTGATGTAAAGCAAAATTGGGGTCAAAACTTCATTAACAGTAAATGTGTATAGAACTTTATAGTACTTGAGTCTATTTCTGGGAGAAGAGATAAAAATAATTTAAATGAGATAACTTATGGTTTGTGACCCTGCTATCACTCGGTGTTTGCTTTCTCACGTGTGAGCATGCATGGATCAGTACAAACGCGCATGCTTACCTGATTTGTCAGTCTAGGCCTGTGTTTCGATTTTCACTCAAGTTGGGGATCTGCCTTCTTTCTGCCTGTATGCACTTTATTAAAGATCATCTGTTAACAAATAAAATTACCTTCTTTGCTCTGAATTTGTTTCTTTGAAACTAAAAGGGAAACAATATTATTGAACTATTCAAAGCTATGTTTTGTACCAAAATATCAAAAGATATTGAAAGGTATGTCACAGTCGTTCCAGATGTTCAGAAGGATGACTTCCCATTTGTAGTCATATTTTGGCAAAGTTATGTCACAGTAATTGAAAATGACTAACCAGTATGTGATTCCATAAGGATAGGCTTATTCTCTTTGCTATATACTACCAATAACTTAAACCTATCTGGTTTAAATTACTTAAGTAATGCCTACAGAAAAAAAAAGGCTTGGAAAATCAGAAACTATGCAGTTTTTGTGTCTTGGGCCTTTTATGAAGTTTTAATTAAATTTAATTTTTGCTTGTGGGGGTGAGGGTAGTGATGGACACAATTCAAGAATCCATTAAGTGGTCTTTGTAACAATATGATTATTTATAAAATTATATCTCCAAGTACCATTTTAGTGAAATTGGATGAATACAGATACAATTAACTGCTTTCTTCCCAAAGATTTTTTCATTTTTACAAATATCAGACATATAAAAACTTCGGCTCATGTCCTTTAATTTGTTCCATAATAGTAAAACCAATGCAGGGTTTCTCAGGGCATCTTAGTTTATCAGAAGAGAGGATGCCAAAGTCATGTGATAAGCATCACTTTCCCCCATCTCATCTTTGTCTACATGAGATTCTATCAGAGGAAATATGCAAGAATATTATATTTGCTTCAGACGCTTGAAAATACAATACACTATAAAGTACCGAAAATGTGATTCCAGCTTGACAATATCTTAGAAGTGGCCCATGTATCTCTTTTTGAAATGACTTTAATAATGACTGACTTTAATAATGTCAGGGAGGAAGGATTTCAATGGCAGGCAAGCTGTGATGAATGAACCCGAGGAACAATGAAGCTATTGACAAAACATGCTAACTTTTAGAATTCTATCTAAATTATTACTTTTCTTTCCGGTGCAGAGGGAGACATGCAAGTGTATCAATGTTCATCAAACTCGGGGTAATAAAAATGTGAGTGACAGTCAATGGCCTGTGACTGTAATATGCTTGTTAGTGTAGGTGAGCCACCGCGCGGGAGCGTTCGCTCCTGTTTAAGAAAGATCAGTGGTCCACCGTTGAGATGGGGAGTTTGTAGAAAATGGAGGCCCTGAAGGAGACACAAGAAAGAAGGCTAAAAAAAGAATAGAGCAGATTCCATAATTAAAAAAGATTTGTTTTCTGTTTTAGATTTCGCTCCCGTCAATTGTTCCTGCTAGCTATTTAGATGAAATAAATGGAATATCACTTAATAGGCAGAGGCGTTGATACAATTTCCTCTCCAAAGATCTGATTCCTAGCATCTGAAGGCAACGAATTCAAGTTAGTATTGAACTTGAATTTGTTCTGCCAGAGTGAAAATTGGTTCCATTAGGCATCAGTCACAGAATTCTTGGAGACCTGACTGGCGCTGTGACTACGATCTCTCCAACTAGCTGCAACTAGTAATGCTGGGTGCGCTCTGGGAAACCATCCAGGGAGGTTGGATTGTTTTTTAAATTAAAGTTTCTTAATTTGAAATTCTTCATAAATCTGGACCAAGTTTAATTAAGGTCATCTGTGTGGGTAAAGCCTTAAGGAGGGACCACTTAGAGGGCACACGATATTTGGAATAACTTAGAATATGAAATATTCCGTTGTGTACTCTTTTTCACAGGGACTCTTTCCTTAGCATTTTTTTCTCACCTATATTTCTACTTCCTTCTCATTGCAGATTTATAGTTCTCTAGGGAAACCCCTGGAAGAAGTAATATATTAGACAGATATACTACCCAAAAGCTTAAAAGTTAGTATCTGACTAGATAGACAAAAATCTAAATAACAGCTGTAAGAAAGAAAGAAAGAAAGAAACAAACCAGTTTTATCTTAGGTGCGTAAGTATGCCCAATATATTAAGAAGAATGAAAAACAAAGCATGTCATTTAAAAGCTTGTGATATAGGGGCTGGAGATGTAGCCAACTTCGTAGAGTGCTTGTTTGGCATATAGGGGCTCTGGGGTGTGTCCTAGCACTATATACAAAAGCATGGTGGTGTATGTCTACAATCCCCAGCTTCCCATAAAGGGGTGGCAGAAAAAGATCAGAAGTTCAAGGCAATAGTGAATTTGTGGCCAGCCTAGTACACAAAGAAAATGTTCATATTTTACCTGTAGGCTTATGAAACAAGCATATTTTTTCACGAACAAAATACATAGGTTAGGAACCTTGGTATATCCCCATCATGAAAGTATTTGATAGATTTCATGAAATAAATATTATGAGAATTTCAAGATTACTAATGAGGAACGATATTTGACTCAATAGAAAAGTGACACAATTTTAAGTTCTCTTTCATTTTTCATTCAAATTTATTTCCTGTTTGTTTTTCAAGCAGAGCATTTGTAAACTTGCTTTTCCCACATCAGTTTCTCCTTCTATGTGTTTTGTTTATTTCCTTCT